GAACTTGTAAACCCCATACATCATTAACTTGAAGAAGAAATGTTAGCCAAGCATCTTTATGAGGCCCAACGCCTTGTGCAATATCATCTGGGCCTAAAGCCAATGCATTTAATGGAGGATATTTAACAATCTGAGATATGTATAGTATTTACGTATCGTCATAATTAATTTATATAAATTCGAAATTTAAGATTACTAGTTAAATATTCATTCACCTTTAAACGATTCATCTGTTTATTAAGAGGATCCAGAAACTTATATAAAGAATCGGAAGGAAGACCTAAACTCGATGCTATTAATTGCATAAATTCTAATGAGAAATCAGATATCGCTTTAATATATTCCAACAAGGTTTCTTTGAAACCAGGGACGTATTTCTCATCAGGCCATTGATTAGGTCCCCTAAGTCTTCTATATAAAGGTTCTCCTTTTTTCCAAGTGCAAGGGACTTCTGCTCCAAAATTAAATTGTTCACGTTGATCCTCTATATCTTTGGTTTTTTCTGCGGCCAATTTGTCGTATCCAAGAAAATGTGGTGAATTACACATTTCAATTCGTAATTTTTCGGAAGTTGGAAGATTAAAGAGTTGGTCAGAATATGATTTGATTTTGGTGATAAGTTTCTATTCAAATACATAAAACATTGATTATTCTGAAGCAATCGTAAAGTTACTCTGTCATAAATACACTACCTCAGGAATTGGATGATTTTTGACATATAGGAAACCAACATGGAGAAGTGCGTTACGAAGTTGAGACAAGAATTCATCTTTTTTGAGATTATGAATGAGACTATAGTCCAATATTGGTAGGGAAGTAAAGTCTACTTGATTACTTGCCATCTTTTTTTTTTATTGACTTTTTTTGTTGTTAAACAATCTTTGTGACGGAGTTGCAATCATATTTATCATATTAATATGTTGATAATATTTGCAATTCCATTTCTGAAATTGGTTGGGAATTACATGGGGGACATTAATTCTTGAACACTTCGTTTTACTTGTTCTTTACTAGATCAGCAATAACTCGTGATGTTGTGATGATTTTTTGATACCGTTCGAATCTCAATGAGATTATTTGAATGGTATCAAAATCATTAAAAAATTCTACCCATAGCTAACTATTCCACGTGATTAAAAGGCGATTTGAACCAATAAAAACATTTCTTCTATATAATTAAAGCTCAATGGATTTATTTGGATTTTGTGAAAAAAAATTTATTTCCAAATTTTTCTATATCCTTGTTTCGTTATATAGTGTTGATTCTAATTTTTTTTTTGATAAAGAAAGTAACATTAAATGTTATACTGTATAATGAACTATGAATATTTTTTCTATGAAATGAAAATAATTACTAGAAAAGTTATTTAAACAATGAAAATTTTAACAGATAACCCACTTTTTTGTAAGCTTAAAATGTATACAGTAAAGCAATTTAATAATTCTAATATACTTGAAGGTTTATTTTGTGAATATAAAGACGATATGAAGTTTTAGTGAACTTAATTATGTATTTATTTATTACTGTATTAACGTAAAGTATAATATTAACCAAGTTTTTGGCGAAATTGAATTACA